TCTAAGTGCTGGGGTTACAAGCATGTCATCCCTGGCTATTTAATATTATGATTTAGCGATATCCTTAAAAAGAAATCTTTTCATACACAGTTTTAAGGGTTGTATAAAAAACATCCTACAGGTAATTCCATGAACTTCAACCATTTCTCTTTTTAAATATTTACATAACTATTTTTCTTTTGCAGTCTGGGGATTGAACCCAGGACCTTTGCAACATCCCCAGCCTTTTAAAATTTTTTTCTTTTGAGACAGGGTCTGGCTGAGTCACTAAGGTGTTCAGAAAGGGCTCAAACTTTCAGTCTTCCTGCTTCAGCCTCCCAGTGTGCTCGGATTACAACCATGTGCCACTATGGCTGGGGTGGCCTTTTCATTTTATACGGGGGACTCAACCCAGGGAGTGTTGAGCTGCATCCTACACCTTTTTAAATTTTGACATAGGGTATATGTAACTTGTTCAGGTTGAACTTTAATTTGGTATTCTCTTGTCATAGTCCCTTGAGTAGCTGGAATTAGAGGCATACACTAGGGTGCCAGGTTTCATAGACAAATCATTTTATATTTCGGAAGAAACATGCTGCCAGTTTGGTCATTTGACAAATAATCATTGAACATGTACTATGTGTTGGTTGGAGCATTGTGCAAGGTCACAGTTTTACAGTGATGAGCGAGAGTTCCTGTCTTTGCAGAACTGACAAGTTTATCAGAGACAAAGACTCTTATGCAAACATGTAATTGCTCTAAGTGATAAACAAATGACATTAGGGTTACCATTGTCCCAAAAAATTAGAATCAGGCTTTGGGGTTTATCTTTTATCCTTGCCATTTTTAAGCTAATAAATGTGTTGAATATTCTCATCTCTAAAATATGGATGATATTACAGCTATTCCATGGTAGTGTCGTGGGAATTCAATGAGGTAATACTAGTTAGCGTGGCAAGTGATAAGTGCTCTAGAAATATTGCTTGATGATGGTGGTGGTGGTGGTAATGGAGAAGATAAAAAAGAAATGTGGCAGTGATGAATTGGAGTGCTATGTGAACCTCGCCAGAAGCTGAGGCTGTGAGAAGGCAGGGTATGCATGCCCAGAGGTTTTCCAGAGGAGACAGCGTATGAAATGAACTGTGAGTCTGGGTGATTTATATCTTCAACAAGATCTCATTAGTCTAGCTTTAATGTTACTGATACTTAGGATATTCAAAAGCTAGTCAGAGTCAGAGATGATTCGATCCATGGTCTTCAAACAGGGCTCAGGGAAGCCTTAGATTCTGACAGCATGCCTCAGGATATTTAAGACAACGAGAAACCAATTGCTTTTCCTTTCATTTAGCACAACTCAGTTTTTATATATTTTGTGTATTTTTGTTGCATGTAACATTTTGATTTGTTTGTTTTCAAAACAAGTATCTTTTTAAAAAATCTCTCCATTTTATAGATCAAGAAAACTTCTGCTTTAGGCCAGGCTATTAAAAGGTGTGGGGTGTTGGGAGCCGCAGCCCCGAGCCCGGTCGCCTCACTTGGCGGACGTGAGGCCTGTAGTAAAGAGCAAAGCCTGAGGTAGATTACCCCTCCCATCGAATATGTTAGTTTCCTGCTTACCGCGTAAGCAACCCGCTCAACAATATAGTCTGCCTGGCAACTGATGATGTTAGCCAATCAGCTTGCCTTGCTTACTTTAACATGATTGGACACTGTACCCGTATATATACCGGTGCCACCCCTGGGCGGAAGAAGAAGCCAGGTAGAAGCCCAGAAGTAAAAGCCCAAAAGGAGCCGCGGAGAGCGGACCGGTAGAGGCTTTGGGGCAGACTGAAGCACAAAAGGAGCCGCGGGGAGCGGACCAGAGGAGGCTTCAGCTGGGAGAACCCAGGGCAGGCTGTACGGAGAAGGAAAATAAAAAGAAAAGGTTGTCCACTACCAGACTTTGTCGTGTGTCCTTCCTGCCGGCCGGGAGCGGACATCGACAGTGGGGTGCTCTCTTATAATCCCAGTAGTCTAGGAGGCTGAGGTGAGGTTGCAGTTCAGAGACTTAGTGAGATCCTGTCTCAAAAGAACAAGTAAGAAAAAGGGCTGGAAATGTAGCTTGGTGCCAAGGCCCTGTACTCAAGCAAGCAGTCAAGCAAGCAAGAAATTTTTGTAGTTTTTAGATGGCGGGCCTCGCTGGGGATGGACTTTCTTGCTTTTTTGATTCAATTAACAGGCATTGTAAGCCTAAGACTGTACTCTGTGTTCAGAAAAATGTTGGTACTCCATTTAGAACTGGCTTAAAAAGCACATAAACCCAGTAAAATTGCTCTCCATGGAGGGCAAGTCAAAGACAAGCTTCAACCTTTCATAGAGGATGAAAGAGAGAATTAAGTATTCAGTCAGAACAAGCCAAGTCTCTGGGAGAAAATGATACAGGATATTGTCTCCCTAACTTAATTCCTGGGGTGTTGGCATCATTTGCCGTTTCTAGGCCTTTCTAATTATAGATGTGCTGGGTCACATTGCCTCCACCTGCACCTATAACAGTAACAATGTTCAGCATTTAACATTATCAAAGACCTCTCCAGCTTGAACTAATTAATTCATACAATCCCAACCATCTGGGACAGATATTATTATTACCCAGGTTTTATAGACCCAGAAAACTTCAAAAGACATTTCCCAAATGTCATATAGGAATTGGAACAGGGCCAGGATGAACAAGATTTTTTAGTTTCATTAGAAGATGAGTCTTCCATGGACTGTTTAGATTTGAGAGTAATTTTTTTCTTCAGGGTGGTAAACAGATATCCTTTGTTCAATACTAGCTCACTGTTCGGTTTCTGTTGTACCTGCCAGAAGGAATCATGACACCTCAGAAACTACCACACACGTCATAATTCTCTGGAATGCCAGATAATTTGGGAGTTCTTAAGGTGGCTAACATGTGCCAGCTTTTGATCCTTTTTCTTACCTCCTTTATTATACCTACAGAGAGAATCAAATATTCAGTCATAATAAGCCATGTCTCTGGGAGAAAATGATACAGGATATTGCACAGAACCTCTTTCCAACTAGCTGATATTAGAATGGAGAGCTCATGAATTGTAAAATGAAACCTTAGAAAAGTCAACCCATTATAAAGCCTTCTCTGTGCTTTTGTGCTGACCAACTAATTGAGATTCTCAGACATCGCATGTTCCTCAAAGAAAGTCCTTCATAGTTCATACCATCCTTTTAATCATTAGTTTTTTTTTAAAGATTAAAAATAGCCATGTTATCCTGGTTGCAGAAAAGTTACATTTAAAACAATATGAAGTGACTCATTGGTATAAAATCACTATTCTCTTTTAACTTTTGTCCTAGTATAATGAAAGTTTTACATTCTCATGCATTTACTCATGTTGAACAGGCAGGAAACCCAAAAAGTCTAAAAAGTCAAAGGTCTTTGACATTAATATGGCAATGATTATGCAAAATTTTAAAAATGACGAATTAAAATGAGTTCTATGTTGACTCAGAGACCAGCAGGACCAGAGAAAAAAGAATAATTTTGAAAATTTTTCAGAATATGTAGGAAAGTTGGTGAGTAGGATTAAGAACTTTCTTTAAAGACACGTATCTTTTGAAATCCAGGTTCAAAGAGCATCTGTATATTGTTTTCATGGAAGTCACCGTGTCGTGGAATGCATAACTTAGAGAAACTCAGAGTCTGTAGGGACTCTCAGGGCTGTTTTTAATACTACGTTTAGATCTAGTCTATTGAGTTTTTAATAATTTCCATAAATAAATCTGACTCATCTCAAAGTTAAGACTCTCTGATGTCAGCCCTCAGCCCTCTTCTCATTCGGAAAAGCTGAGCGGTTTTGGCATTTTATCTCAGTTCAAAGATAGACTTGTAGGTTGAACCAAAAGTGAAAAAAAGCTGACCTGGAAACTTTGGTTCTGTATTCTCACATAGTTCTCTGAAGCAAAGTGAACAGCGATTCAGTGGGGTGCGTGGATGGCTATCGGGAATCAGGGTGTTAAGGTCAAGGTGCCCCCACACCTGGCAAATTCCCCATCTTCATTCCTTTGGTCAGCAAGTCTGAGTTGGAGTATCCAGCAAGGGTGCATAAAGGCCAGCATGGGGCTGGGGATTTAGCTCAGCGGCATAAGTGCCTGCCTTGCAAGCAGGCAGTCGTGAGTTTGATCCCTGGTATCGATAAAAAGGAAAAAGACAAAAAAAAAAAAAGGCTAATCACTGGAGCTCAGTGATCACTTTAATTTTTTTCATAGAGAAAATATACCTCAAAGCCCAGGCTAGAAGTCACACCACTTGTCTTTATACCATTTTACCATCACCTCAAACCTCCTGAAAGCATTTACTTACAGACGAGAACTTTTCCATCCTGGACCTGGGCCCGGAGCGAGAAAAATGAGAGTAAAATATACATGAAGCAGTCTATTTGGCAATTTTCAGTTGTTTCCCCCTCCCCAAGCCAGATTCATAAATAAAACCTGCCCAAACACAGTCTTTAATAACAACATGTGACAACTCTTCCATAAAGAGTACTCTGTGGGCTAGAAAGCATTTTAAAATAGAAATATTTGTATAGTTTGTCTGAAAAGATTTTTTCAGATTTCCTAAAGTAACGAAAAGAAAATGCAAGAAGCCTCCTCCCTCTGTGTTAAGAGGGGATTTTATGAGAGTGGTGGGTCCAAGAAAGTGCCAGCGCTGGTGGGATATGAAAACACAGCTGTTGGCTTTTTACAGTGCTGAGGTTTATGAGTTTGGCAAGGAAACAGGCCCCAGACCTGAGGTCCTCCGCAGAGTGGGTGTGGCGGAATGGGACAGAGTCTGTGCCTCTTCCTCTGCTGCACAATGTGGGTCTCACAGTTACCGCCTCTGTCTAATTGCTGGCTGTCTGCTTTGTGGGACTCCTCCTGCCGACTCCCAGGCAAGATTTTCCCTGTGAATTCATTTCATTCTTGGCTGTCACTGCAAAGCTAGAGTTGTAAAGCAAAGGACGTTACCTAACAACAGCTTTACTCACAGATTGACTCCAAGGTGAATCCAAATAGCTTTTCTCCTTCCTTTGGCCTCTCTTCTCTGAAGCACTGGTCCCAGTTCCTGAGACGTTTTGCACAGGGACTTCATGCCCCTCACTGCTTGATATTTTCTGCATCAGTGTGCTCAGGGTCTCGAGAGAAGCTCCGTTTGTGGGCTTGGGGCCAAGTTCAGTCAATGCACGTCCTTTATCCCTGTGAGGTGTGGTCAGAGACTTAGCCCCTCGGGTAGGTTCTTTTGGGTAACTTTTCAGGTGTACCAATTCATCAGTGAGTCCCGAGGTATTCAGAACAAAGGGTTAGGATGCCTTCTGTTGTACTCTAAGAAAATAGCTTTGTTATATGTGTATTATAGCAAACCTGTATAGGGGCTTACTAAATGTGTTTGTTTTATCCTTTTTCCCTAACTGATATGTTAAGTGACCTAATTGATATGTTGAGCAACACTCTCCCCTGTAAAGAATTGCAAGAATCTCACCTAATTGATATGTTAACCATTGTTGCCCTCTACAAACTACAGAAGCTGTGCTAAAACAAGCTAACAAGGGTTGTTAATCACTGCTAGGCGCCTCTATTCTCCGCTAAAGAGCTAAGGAAAACTAAAATGGCAATTAATTTACACTTGTTTAAAGTAACCTGCTTGTGTGCAGAGAGATTTGCGTGTGAGTTTAACCCTTTACCCTGACCCTGACACATTACCGCCGTTTTCTGTTCTGTATGGCGCCTTATTGCCTCCCTCTCCCCTCACCTATCTATCTAGGCCATAAAGAATTTGGGTTTCTGGTGACCTCCCCCTGACCCGGTGATGATCTGTTGTAAAATGAGCCTGCCCCAATTTTAAGAACTGCTTAGCTTAAAGAAACTACCGGGTAATACTATGGCCCAAACCCCAATCGGTGCTTTCCTTTTGTTCTGTATGTATCAAATGAGTTAGATATCAGATCTTTGTAAAACTTAAGTTCCAGCGTCTCATAACTCGTGACCCCTTCGCACTCACTAGTGAAGACAAGCTGTCCTGAGATAATTAACTCTCCACTTTCTTCTCCAAATATTGCTGCAGACGTGCCACTCTGAGATAATGTCAGTCTGCAGGATGGGAGTAATTTAAAAAAAACACCAGGAACTCCCTAGATTGTCAGAGCTAAGTGGACAACAATACAGTTTCCAGACTCGGGTCAACAAGTTTGATGGCTCTGCAGGTTTCTTTGTTTCTCTCCCCCCCCCCCGCCCTTTCCTCCAGCCCCTTTTTAAAGTCCTCCCTTCAGCCTCTGGGACACGGTCTCCAAATTGGCTCCCGGAGACTGGTCGCCAGGCCTGGAAATAAAGCCTTTGTCACCTAAATTTTTGGTCTCTTGCCTCCTTGGATTTTATACCGGGGCCCAAGTTATAACACCTTCCTTTCCATCTCTGGCAATCAAAGGCCCTCCAATAATGAAGCAGCAGGTTTATTTAAGACTAACCAATGGGAATTGTTGGACAGAAAGGAAGGAGCTGTAACTGATGCATCCTGGAAATCATATCAAAGATCTGCACATACACTGGTGCATGCAGAGCTTCACTTGTTTGGATATTTTCGGTTTACTGTCATTTAGAAGCACTGCTATCAAAGCCAAATCAGCAGTCTTAAGGTATACATTCCTATGTGTTCATCACAGCTCCTGTTAGCAAGGAATACATACTAATGAAGTATTAGGGAAGTGTGTGCAAGCTGCGCAGAGTGAAGCACCCTATTGTAAGGGCTGATTACACTGTGTCAACTTGAGAAGTCTAGAAGCTTGACTAGGCAACTCAGCAGTTCCACATCCTTGGGTGTAAAGGACAAGCCCTTATCTCTGAGGATGTTGTTAACTGTGTCAATTTGAGAAGTTTAGAAGTTTAACTAAGTGACTCAGAAGGGGTCCAGGGTCCTCACTTTATAAACATCCTGAGTTTGTGCAAGAGGAGGGTAGGGAAATGGTGTGAGTGCTACACCCACCCAGGATAGACAGCTGCATATAATATAAGGGAGGGAAAGAGGCTTGCTTTTTCCTGCTTTTTGTGCTTGTTGCTTTTGCTATTTTCCATTGCCATGAACTGCTGCCCCTTTGCCAGGCCACTCGGCCTTGGAGTCAGCTGATTATGGACTGAATCCTCTACAACCTTGAGCTAAATAAAACCTTTCTTTCCTTAATTTTCGGTGTCAGGTATTCTGTAAGAAAAATAACTAAGACATTCATCATCCCAGAATTCTGGGAGACTGAGGCAGGAGGATGACAAGTTTGAGCCCAATGTGGGCAACTTAGCATGTTAGGGAAACCTATCTCAACAGAAAAAAATTCAGAAAGGACTGGAGATGTAACTTGGTGGAAAGACTTTGTTCAATGCCCAGTATGGGAAGAAAAAAGGAAGGCAATGTGGTACACATAAAATATAAACAACGTAATACAGGACCAGAGTTTTCTAGGTCCAGCTTAAGGTCAGACCCATTGCAATCCCCTCAAAGGCATGCTTGTTCTCTAAAGAAGTTTCCTTGTTCCAGACTGTTGGGTGACATGTAACTGCTAGGACAGCAGAATTCCCTGGAAGTTTCCAGTATCAGGTTTCCATGGAACAGGCTTGTACAAGGTTTCAGCCTTCTAGAGCTGATTACTTCACCATGATGAATGCTGGCTCGTCAGTAATCTATCTGGACTCTTACCTAATGTTACTAATGGTTGTACAGTCTGAGGTATGTAGAGGGCATTTTTTGATTTTAAACTATTGGGTTAAGTAATCTTCCTTTCCTGATGTTCATTAAATTTAAGTCATATAAACCTCCAGCTGGCTAGTTGAAGTAAATACTGTGTAATCAGATCTCTAGGAAAGAAGATGGGTTTGTTAATGTCCACAGGCCTTGGATACCAAAATTGTCATATGATATTATAATACAGTGAGCTTTGCTAAATAGATTAAAACTTTATCAAGCTGGGTGTGGTGTGAGTCTATAATTCCAGCTCCTCCTGAGTCAGGAGAATTGTAAGTTCAACCTCCACCCCCTAACCAGGAACATAGTGAGACCCTGTCTCAAAAGGGCTGATGATGTAGCTCAATGTGAAACACTTGGCTTCAATCCCCAATCTTACACACACACACACACACACACACACACACACACACACACACACAGACACACGCACACACACACACCACAATCAAGGCATTCATTTGACATTTCTTCAAGCAAACATAGTTTGCATAATAGATGGGTTATTCAAACCCAATGAAAACAATAAAATATTCACCCATGCTGTGTTTATAATCAAGTAAAACAACACAAAATAATTAGAATAAGTTAGAATAAAAACATAGAAACACTGCAGTAGCACTCTGCATAGAATTCTATGAAACCTCACAGAATATGCTTCTGATTAGGTGTGTCTCAGGGCAGGGAAAAAATAAATTGGTTAGAATTAATACAATATTGTTCACAAAGATGATGTAGCTACCCAAAATAAGCTAGTATGGTCTTGGTTTATACTAATAGAACTATAACATCTAAAAGCTCAAATAATAGACATACCTTGAACTCATTCTGTTATATGTGAAGTATTGGATTCAATTTGGAATAAAAATTAAAAGCTTATTATAAATCCTGAGCTCATTCAGAGCAAACCTTCCACACTGAAGAAGTTGATTAATGTTTAGCTCCATTGGATATCAAAAAAAGCAGGCTAAGAGAAACACGCTTATAATTAGCAAATATCCAAAGGCTCATTTTCTATGGTAAGATGCATTATATTTATTTAAGAAAGCAGGAATCAAATAAAGAAATAAAATAACTGGATGAAAATGGCAAGTATGCTAATTTAGACTAAAATTAGAAAGAATCTCCCAAGAATAAGAGTTATTTAAAAGATCAAATAAAGTACCTTTTGAATAGATGTCAGACTGCTTAATTAAAGCTGAAATTTTATGGAGAATACTGCAAAAGCAATAAACATTTTGGTTTTGGTTAGAATAAGTCACTTTTTGGTCTCTGCCAAACCTTAGATTTTATAATTTGGGCATATCACTTTAATATTAGATACTATTTGCAAAACACAGCAATTAAAAAAAGTGCTCTTCTCAAATCATCAAAATTGTCAAGGAACTGCTAAGAGACAGAAAGAAATAGGCATAATTCACAGAAGTATTTCTTGTTTTGTTTCTTTTTCTTTTTAGTATTAGGGATTGAATTTAGGTATTTGAATTATCACTATTATTTTGAATTATTACCTCCACATTAATTTTATTCTTAGACTAGGCTGAAATTTGGAATCCTCCTACCTCAGCCTCTTAGCCTAACCCTAACCCTAACCCTAACCCTAACCCTAACCCTAAGATTACAGGTCTCCACCGCCACTTCCCCCAAAAAGTATCACTTTTGATGAAATTATCAGCATCGTATGACAGATGTGGCTTCGATCTTCAGTCAGAGAACTCTTTGGAACCATTGAAGAAATCTTAGGGACTTCTCTGGTCTGTGGGCATCCATGGGGATGGCCACCACTTCTATGATATCCATGGTAGTTCCATGGAATGCCTACTTAGTTCAGGAGTACAAAAGAAAATATTTCAATAAGGAATCATCTGACAGCCAAAAATAAATAAATGAATAAATAAAACAGATGAGTGTCCTTTCATGTATGTCCTCCAGTTGTCTTATGACCAGTGCATGACAGTAAGTAGGTGGCAATAAATGAATCACTTAGCAAGTGACATCCTTTTTTAAAAAAATTGTTTTACTTCTCTTTTCTTTTGCAAATGACAGTCTTAAGACACTATAAATAAGGTCTTGGTAGTTATGTAGTAAATGTCAGTAAGAATCTTCTTGTTTTCCACCAACTAGAGAATCATATGATTCAAAATCTTAGAAGAAAATAAATACCAACAAATAAAGTAAGCATGCTGATGTACAGTAAAGCCTAAAGGTAAGACTGGGAGAGAAATAGCATCAGAAAGAGGCAAACTGGGGAGCAAAAGCTACAGGGAAGTCCTTCAGCAAGACCAAGGACACAGCTAACACTCAACAGAGCGCTTATGTACTAGACGCTCTGCTTACTCACCGGTCGGTTCTCTTAGAGATTCCATGAGTTAGGTTTCTTGCTAATTGTTTCCTTTGATGAGCTGAGAAATACAGACACAGAGACGTGAAGTGCCGTGTCCAAGAGCACACAGCTGGCCGGAATTTGAACTCAGACAATCTGGCTCAAGAATCCAAACACTTCATACCTAAGTGTCTCTAAACTGAGAGAAAGAAATGAGACAAGTGAAAAGAAAATGACTCAGGAACCATGAACTAAATTCCACTTTTAAAAGAAAGAGAAATAACTATTGAACATGAAAGTTTTGTGCAAAGCCAGTTAAACGGTTTTAACTTTCTTGGGATAATCCCAATTCTCTGTTAAAGTCATTTTAACAAATACGCTTCGAATGGCCGTTAGCCACTTGGCATTCATGCAGCATGGATGAACCTAAGCTTGGCAGTCACCTGCAGAGGCAAAGGGGAAAAGCACATGTTTCCATCATTGCCTCTATACCAAAGCCCAAGCTCAGCCACAGGTGAGTAAGGATTCAGTTCCCAGGGACTCGGAGCAATTACAAAATGGTGTGTCCTGCATGTGGCCAGTGGCTAGTGGGGGCAGAACATTTACAATTTCAGAAGTGCTGTCCACTGTGTAAGTGATAATCTGTACTTGGTGTTATAAATCAAGATAACAGAGGGCCTAGTTCTTTCTCTGGATCCTAGATATTTCTCTTCCCCTAATCTAAACTAGTAAGTGTTGAGTGATGAAACACTTGACGAATATTCTTTAAATATTCATTTCTAATGTGCTAGCTTTTCTCTCCTTTTTTTTTTTTTTTGTTGTTGTTTTGTTATGTTACTGAGGACCGATACCAGCCCTTTGCATTGAGCTATATCCCCAGGTTTTTTTTTTTTTTTAAAGAGAATAAAACCAAGGAAAATGAAACAGGACAAAACCAATCAAAATAAATCAGTATAAGTGATACAGGACTTCAAAACCTTATGAAGTCAACAATAGTTACCATAATATCTTTGTTGTCTTCAAAATAGCTGCAGATACATTTGGAGATAGTAAAAATCGAACAGAACCGAATAGAATAGAAACAATAAAAACAAAGCAAGGAATGCAATAAAGGACTTCAAAACAAGCCAATAGTAAATACAAAATGACTACCATAACAAGTCTTGCTGTCTTTTAAATAGCTGCTCATGCCCTCAGATTTAACATAAACAAAACAAAAGAGTCTAAAACCCAACCCAACAAAACAATGAAAACGATATGGTTTTCTGGTGGGAATTGCTTCCTGGTGAGGCCTGGTTCTCTCCCTCCCTAGTCCGCAAATGGTGCTGACTCACTGAGGGAGGCTTGGCTCTGGTTGTCCCCACTCTGGCAGCAGCCTGAGCATGGCACTGGTTTCTAGGCTAGGACCACCTTCTGGTGAAGCCTAGTTCTCTCCCTCCACAGTTGTGAATGGCCAGTGTTTTTGTTTTTAATTTTAATTTTTTATTTTGAGATAGTTTTTTGCTAAGTCACTAACTTGTCGGCAGGTCTTGAACCTATGGTCTTCCTACCCCAACCTCCCATGGGGCTGGATTACAGACAAGTGCTCCTACACCTAGAGCTAATGTGCTGGGCTTGCAGAAACCTTGAATGAAGCTGATATGCAGAAATTTCAGCTGCTCCCTTCTGGCTACCAAGCAAGATGTATCACTAAATCTGAGGGCAGAAGCTGACATAATTTTGTCTTAGCCAATTGCATTTGATATGTTCCAGTTTAGTTTTACAGAAGTCATGCGGCACATGACATATCAACATATCATCGACATTCATAGGGACCTGTTTAATTGGCCAGATGTGAACTCTCCAACAGTTTCTGCACATTTGTTAGCTGTAATCCTGTAGATAGTACAGTATTCAAACCCCACCTAGAGCAAATGAAAGTTGAAAGTAAGAAGTCTAATACTGTCTGCTAATTTAAATGCCAGCGCCCAGTCTGTGTTACATTGGGAATGGAGAAGACAGAGCAGCACCTCCAGGGAAGGTGGGCAAACGGCCACAGGAAAGACAGAAATATCCAAAAGCATCTGTGGGCCTTCAGTATGTGTCATTTATTTACACAACTTGCATTTTAGAATGTGGAAAACCATAAAATCTGACAGACATCCCTAATAAGTATCAAAGCCAAAGATCTGTGGTCAGAGGGGGACTCCATGCGGGTGGTTTCACTCTTCCCCAGGTTCTGACTCACAAATTTAAAACACTCAGAGTGGAGCATTTTTTCAACACACAGGGTGTTCACTGAATAAAAGTTACTCATATGCTCCCCCAGATGTTCCACTGATGAATGCACTGCATAGAATGCCATGAGCCAAATACAATTTTACAATGTTAGTTTCATACTTAGTAGTCACTGGATCCTTTTGACTGGACTAATAATATTTTTAATACTTTTTCAGTCTTTTTTTTTTTTTTGTCTTTTTGAGACTGGGTCTCACTATGCAGTTCAGGCTGGCCTTGGGCTCAGGCTGGCTTTGTAGCCCAGGCTGGTCTCGGTTGGAACTTGCAATGATCCTCCTGAGTCAGCCTCCTGAGGGCTCAGATGACAGGAGTGCACCACCACACCCAGCTTTACTTTTTCAGTCTTTTAATCTACTAGAGCTGGGATTTATTTAGCATGGAAATATATGTATCTCATAATATTAATCAAAACTATTGGTTTTGTCTTTTTAAATTAGGTATAGTGTATATACAACAAAGTACAAAAGTCTTAACTGTGTAACAATGAAGTTTTAAGTGTACTATAGAACATTCCAGCCTTCCAAAGACTGTCATGCTTCTTCCTTGTCAGTGACCGCTCCCCACTCTCCGACATGAAATAGTTCACCAGGGGTTGCCTGGATTTGCTTTGCCCTCTGGCACATTCTCCACCTATGTACATACACGTGCCAACTTAGCCAAGGATTGAAAACAGTTTTTAACGATCGTGTCCGTACCAAACATGTACAGATTTTTCTTATCATTATTCTCTAAGTGACACAGTATACCAACGTTTTACATAGTGTTTCCATTGTATTAGGTATTAATATGAATAATTGAGAGATTATTTTTAGTACAGGAGAGGATATTCACAGGTTACATACAAATACTATACTATTAAGAGAACTTATCATCTGTGGATTCTGGTATCTGTTGAGACCTTGGAATCAATCTTTTATGGATACCAAGCAACAAATATATAGGCATCTACATGGATGTATATAGATACAGAAGCAATAATAGAATGGAAACTCTATGTTTGGCTTCCTTTGCTATACATTTTGTTAGTGCAATTCATCTATTTTATTGTATGCAAAAATGTGTACATTCATTCCTTTTTATTACGAATGGTATATCTCCTTGTATGAATAGACAATAGACTCCAACTTACTTGCCTGGTTTTTTTCTTTTTTGAGGGGAGCTGCTATTTTGTTGAGTCTGGCCTTGAACTAGAAGTGATTCCCCTGCCTCAGCCTCCCTGGTGTGTGCCTTTGATGGGCAAAACTTTGATTTTTTTTTCTTGCATATGTCTTTATGACACAAGGTAGGCCATGTGTAGCTTTAATAAATCCTGCCAAATAGGCTTTCAAAGTGGTCCAGTTTGGAGCCCCATTAGCAACACATGAAAATTCTAGTCGCTCCCTAGTGTCACATTTCCAGTAGGTGATGTCAGGTTTTGTGTTTCCTTCTTAATTAGTCATTTTACAAGTGTGTAATAGTATCTCAGTGTGCTTTGATAGGCATTTCCCTCATAACTGAGAGGTTTTGAACATCTTTTCATGTACTTATATCACTATAACCATTTGAGCATGGTCTCAGGAAATATTTCTTTCTTTTCTTTCTTTTTTTAGTACTGGGGATCAAACTCACAATTTTGCACTCGCCAGGCAAGTATTTCTTTACTTAAGTTGTATAACTGTATTTTATATAGAGCTTGTTAAATATAAACTTTACAAATATTTTCTCTCAAGCTGTGTCCTGTCTTCTCACTCTTTTTTGATGGATAGGTCTTAATTTTTTTTTTATCGGTACCGGGATCGAACTCAGGACTGCCTGCTTGCAAGGCAGGTGCTTATGCCGCTGAGCTAAATCCCCAGCCTAAATCCCCAGTCTTCATTTTTTAAAGGGAAAAAACAAAAATCAAGAAGCAAATAAAAACCAAGAATTTCACTTACGAGTATGGCTTCTAGTTACATCCATTTATCTATAAAAGCCTTTGAGATTATCATTCTTTATGGTTTAGTATTCCATTGTATAAAAATATCACATCTTTTTTTATCCATTTCTCAGTTGCTGTGTATTTACATTGTTTCTAAGATCTATTACAAACATGTATTGCTATAGTTTGATGTTTTCAATTCCTCTGGGAAAATACCCAGATGGGGAATAGCTGAATCAAATAGGACCTCTGGAGGCCCTGCGGCCTGGGCTAAGTGCCCCGCGCACTTTCCCCCAAGTCCAGCTTGTTTGGGACCCTCACGGCTTCCAGGTGCACTGGTACAGCTCGGTGGGTCTGGGGTGCCTGCATTGGTCTCCCCGTTCTCAGCTGTGCTTGGCAGACTGTGAAGTGCTAAGCGTGCAGGAGGGCGTCATCGGTTCCAGAGGCTGAGCTTGAGCCGGCCTGCTCCACTTTGAGTGACCCTCTATCAGTCCAGCAAACTGGGTGCCAGAGTCCCAGGAGCTGAGGGCATAGAAGAGGATTTCCAACAGACCCTGAGGAAGCCTTAGAATAACACTCGAAACACTTGAAACACAGAAATATAGGAAAATGACAAAACAAAAGACCAAACTACAATCTCAAATCTCCAGCCCATACAAAGAAACTTTAGGAGCAATGTGTATAGAAGAAAATATATGCAGTACACCTCAAATATTGGACATAATAGCAACTGAAATAAACAAGCAACTCTGGGAAGCTTTAAAGGAATTCAAACTCGAAATAATCTCCCAGGTAAAAGAAGAAATGATAAAAGAAATGAAAGAGATGCTGAATATATCTAAAGAAAACACAATTAAAAAATTGGAGGAACTAAACAAAAAGATAGAATGCCTAGATGAGCAATATAAGAAACAAACAGAATACATAAAGCAAATGCACAAAGATATACAGGAAATCAAAAATTCCACTGAAAGCTGCAAAAACCGCCTCAATGAAAGTGAAGATAGAATTTCAG